ATAATTAACAGAGTAACTAGACAAGCAGGCTAACAAGCATCGCCTTAAAGTAAAAAACCTTCAATGTGATTTCTGTTAGATAGACGAAAATAAACGTGTAGTGTGAAATATAATTAGTAACAATTAGCCCTTTATAAGTCCCACTGCAGGACAAATGGTGATGGTTTGAATCCGAAACCCAATTAAAAAACTCTTATCCCTAAATTATATCAACCGGCAATCGCAGCTTGAATGCCTGACCGCCGACATCTGGAGATAACCACGAAATACGAAACTACGTGACTGCATCCGCAACGAAGCTCATACTAGCAATGCGCGAATCGAGTTATTTAACTCGTACCCGCCACGCGCCGAGGCGAATACCGAGCTACTCACTCGGTCGGTGCGGCCAACTTCGGAGCACGCTCGAATCGGCCGACCGATCGTGCCCAATTCGATGAATTGTCGGTTCCAATTGTACTCGCGACTCGTTGTTGCTATCAGACACCGAGTTGCGACTCGAGTCAGCAATCTCGTTAACTCGTGTTAAAAAAATGCAATTCGTCCCATCGCTAGCTCACACGTACTACACAAATGTCAGTTTTTGGATGGATGGATGGATGGCGGGAAGTGTCGTTTTTATTTTGACTTTCAATTATTTTGTGAAATCTAGTTTAAAGTGGAACAGGATAGTGCTATTGTGCCTTAATCGAAGATTAAAACGCGAAATTATACGAATCTCGAACTAAAATACCCGTATCAGCCCGTTCTAAGGAATCCCGAGTCAATCCAAGCACGTCGCCTCAAATTGCCTATCCTCTTTGTGGCGGCCATATTTACAGAAACATAATTAAACGAAGACATGGCTCAAAGGACTAGTATCCAAGCCAAAATTATTATTAAAAAAAATGTCAGCTTTACGATGAAAGTAATGTCAAAATTGTATACGATAGATGCCATTTGACGTTTCGGAGTGCGTTTCGGAGTAAAGTCTCCACAATAACATAGTGTCAACGATCTTCAATCGTTGCTTCGTATTTCGAGGTAGACCTCCTGGATAATCATAATTGACATATGATTAGGATTGCGATTGCAGAACTTCAAACCCGCAACTACTAACGAAATTACGTAGTCAAATAATTCAGTTATCACGTGACTACACAGAAACCGTCTACAAAGAAACTGTCCCAAAAATAAACATTTATGTGCAATTCTTTGGTAACATTGAACATTGTGAATGTATTAAAGTAGCTTAGACTAGTTCACACACTATTATAAATAAAGCAACGTACATCGAACATGATGGAGAACATATTTTAGAATCATTCATTGACGTACAAGAGTCAATGGTATCATTACAATATTCTAAACTAATACAAGTATGAAATCATGCCTCGTCGCGTTTGACGTGTATTGCTTCCATACAAATATTCATATATGAATTTAAAGTACATATTTACATTTGTGTTATTTACATAAAATTATTAAAGGATTTTTTATGATTAAGAATAATCCTATTGGATCTAAAATCTCTACAATGTTAATTAAATTTACCTAGTGTCTATTCTGTTCTCTATCTATTCTGTGTAATTTTACAGATTTAAAAACATTGCCTTTGCTTCCGCGTTTTATCAGTTTAAAAGAGACGACAATATGTTTATATCTGTCCAATTCGTATTCAGCATCGACTTGACAACCAATATTATTGTTTACCCTTAGCTTGTATGATTATATATTATTACTTGTATTATTTACAAAAAAAACTAGGCATAAAATAATATTAAACATTTTTACTATTTTACCAAATTAAATAAAATTATGAAATTGTAAATGCTCTATACACCCTGATTACATTCTGCTACACTACAAATTATTATTACTTACACTACATAAATGTTATGTATTTTAAATCGTTTAAAAGAGCATTATTGACTTAAAAATGTTTTCATTATAAAATTATGGTCGTGTTGATAACATGTATTTAGTCATGATTTAGTACTTGCATCTGGTAATATATTTCTCAATACATTTTTATATTATAATGGTGTAACGTGCGGAGAATGGTTTTCCGCGTTCTAAGCTTATTTTAAATTTCTACAAGCCCAATTTAAAAGTAACTAGCAAAGAGTTTCTTTATATTCGGAATTATGAATACTTAGTTTATGTGGTTAAAATAACAATACAGAAAACTGGCAATGAATTTGGTTACGCCAGAATTACATTGTTTTAATATTTTCTTCTTTTTTAAGTGAAACGGCTGAATGGCTTCGAACCTCTGCCTTTTACTATTGGTTTTCAATTAGGAGTAAGCCCATACTCATCGTCGTAATCGTAATAACCAAAAACCCGCCCTTTTCGTAAAAATTGTTATTTCTAATTCAAATACAAAGAAACGTCTTTGATTTACGGGTAAATGTCAAGTGACTTGACGAATAAACAGTCCATCCGATGTTTAGATTGCAAAGGTTAGCCAAATATAGAAAAATATATTGCGACATCCGAAAATAATAAGTAAAAATAAATTCACCTATGTAAAACAGAATAAAATACTATTTTTTACAAAAATGTATTGAAAAATATCGTTAAGGCAAGTTCATGATTCTCGTGACGAAGTGTCAAATAATTTACATTAATTTAAATGTATAGTATACCGCAGATTTTGTTCGAATAAATAAAAACAAAGGTATACTTACTATAATTTAAATAGAAATCAATATCAAGAACACCTCTTTTAGTGACATACAGTTGTAAAACACATACATTTGTCACTCGCTGTAGACAATTCTACAGGGTGTCCCAAAACTCAAAGTCAAGCGGTCACTGGGCGAGAGGCCAGGTTATATCAGTTCTGGTAAAAATTAAAAAAAAAAATCCATCCACTTAGTTAAGTGATAATAGGCATTTTTTTGAAAATGTTGAAAATCGATACCCTAGACCACAGTCATGTTTAGGTACTGTCATCACAAATTTTCACATTTTGGAGTGATTTTTTTTTAACGTCATCATAAATAACCATTCTATTTATTGCAGTCACAAATCAAACAATAAACGTTATGAGTTTAGTAAAAAAAAATAAGTTTCATTGAGTCGTAGCTTTAAAAAAATATGTCAGCTAGCTTTGACACTTCATATTTTAAAAAAAATGTACTACACTACCCTGGGCAAGTTATTTTAAAAGATGGCCCATATAATCAAGATTTCAAAATGGTACAATACTTGGCACTCTTCATTCCATAAAAAATATTGCAACTTATTTTTTGCAAAAGGAGAGAAGAGAGATCGATTTTCAACATTTTCAAAAAAATGCCTATTATCACTT